GGAGAAAGGAGGAGAGAACCAGAGGGAAGCCCCAAGGCCTCAAGAGAAATGACAGTAAAGAGATGATTATATATTATTGCCCCATTTGCAATATGTGTGCGTGTGAGAGATATGAATAGATTCTTTGAGTGCTAAAATGTAAAAAGGCAAATAATTTTTGTGGAATGGAATTGGATGGGAAATGTTTGGATGGAATCCATTTTAGGAAAAAAGAAATGAAATCTTCTGTTCCTGTGAAGCCTGTGCAGAGACCGAGTGGGGGGAGGGGATTCAATGAATAGATAAAAAAGTGAAGGACATTTTCTTATTACCCCTGCCTTTAACTAAATTACGACGAATACCATTCTTGTTTTTTCAAACCAGAAAATTAAAGTTTCCTTTTCTTTTTTTTCATTTACATATCCATTGTTTTCTATACAGTGATAAATAGGTGGCCGAGTTATATCGCATATTAGGTTAAAAAAAATTTAATACTAAAAACAATATTTAAGCAATAATAATTTGAGATAATTGATTAAAATGCAGTATGAGATATAAAATTAAAAAAAAATTATAAAGTTAAAGATTTAATAATTTAATGTCAAAGATAAAAAAAGAAAAAAATCAAAAAGTATAACATTGAATAAGAGAATTCGAGTTAGCTCGGAATAACTTGACAAACCAAGAACCCGCAATATAAAATTGAGATAAAAAATTCAAGAAGATGACCTAATGAAAAAACCAAAGTTTGATTAAAAAAAAAAGCATTAAAAAAAACTCTGAGTCGATCCAGGTTAACTTTAATGAACCGTTCTTAGAATGCCCAAAATGTGAAAAAATGACAAAGCTTGAGCTTAAGGGTAAACAATTTAATGCAAGATAATAATAATGAAAAAAATAAAAATACCATAAAAAATTGAGGAAATTTTTTTTTGAAGTCAACTCGGATTAACTTACCTAACTCACCACGTATGACATGAGATCAGGATAAAAAAAAATAGAATTTCAAAATAAGAGCCTAACAAAAAAACCTATAGGGTAAATAAAAATACATTGCAAACAAAAATATAAGTTGACCTGGGTTAACTTGACCAACCCGTTCTTGAAATAATAAAATAAAAAGATAAAGGAAAAATATTAAAGTTTAAGGGTAAATAATTTAATGTAAAATGATGAAATTAAAAAATAAAATCATAAAAAATTGAGGGGAAAAGTCGAGTTAACCCAAGTTAACTCGACTGACCCACTAATCACAACATTAGATCAAGATAAAAAAGTATAAACTTCCAAAAAAAAAACTTAGTAAAAAAACCCGAAGTTAAATAAAAAAATACCGAGTAAGAAAATACAAGCTAACTCGGGTTAATTTGGTTAATACATGCTTGAAATAACCTAAAAGGAAGAAAAGTTAAAAAATCATGTAGCTCAAGAGCCAACCAGTTCACGTTCAAGTATGAAACTGTTGAAAAAAAATTAATTTTATAAAAAAAATATAAGGCAATCATGGTTAATTTGACTAATTTTTTATCTGGAGTACAAGATCACGATAACTCAATAAAAATAAAAGTGAAAAAAATAATGAAGCTAAGGAGCTTAATAGCATAATGCCAAATAATGGATTTATAAAAAAATCATTTTTCAATAAAGAGCCGACTTGTTGGAAGGCATCCAAAAATAAAAAATAAAAAAGTAAAATATCAATCATTAAAATAGTTTAAAATCCAAATAATATAGATCAAACATGATATAAAAAAAAAGATAATATGAGGCTAAATTGAAAAACAAACAAATAAAATAATATTTTTTTTTGAAAAAACCAAAGGAAATTAAATATTGAGGCACGAAATTGAAAAAAATCAAGAAAATGATAAGAATATATTATTCAAGAGAACAAAGATAAAAAATAAATGAAAAAACAAATGCAATAAGATTAAAAGGGATAAAATTGCAAAAAAAAACAATATTCAAGAAAAGTATAACATTACAAAAATAAAGCGAATAAAAGTAGAGGGACCAAATTGAATAAAAAAATTAAATTGAATAAAGTACTTGGGGATGAAATTAAAAAAAAATCCAAACTTCAAAAAGAAATAATTAAAAAAATAAGAAAAAAAATAATAAGATTACATACACACAATTATTTTTAAAAAATTTTGGACATGTATTTTTAAAAAATAATAAAGAAAAAAGATAATAAAATAAAAACTTTCACCATAATCCAACCAAATCTTCTCTATAAACACGTAACATAACGCTGGAAGGAGAGCAATATGCTACTTCTAATATTGTGTTGGAAATAGAACTTTGGCTACCACATAATCCCCACACATCGCTTGAATGCCATAATGCAACGACACATGAACAACTTTTTTTTGAATAATATTTAAAAATTTAAAATTATCAACTCACTCTTAACAAAACCTAAAACTAACAACAAAATTAATAAAAGAAAATCAAAGCACCCTTACAAATAGTCTTTATTATTTTAAATTGCAAGGTTGATTATGTTATTTTATTGTTCTTTTATTAAAAAAGATGAACTTTTTTCCTCCAATAATATATTTGTATCTCAAGTATTAATTTTTAAAAAGACAAAAGCGCCTCGCCTAAGGATTTTTTTTTTTTGCCTTTGAAGGTAAAATAGTCATTAAACTTTAACGAAAAAACATGTCCTGACCATTTTATTCCTATTTAATTTTACATTGATGAATATATTCCATGAAAAAGATGTTTTTTTATCACCAATTGCATGCTTAATCAGTCTTTCTTGGAACAACAAAATCATATCCATACTATTCCATCCCATAGTTTCTTGTGTTGGGCATGGAGACTCAGCTCATTCAGGTTTTTTTTTTTTAATTAATGCCAGTCCTTAGCAGTGCATAACATTGCTTAGATCTGATCTAATTTCGACTGAAAAAATCAGAATCACATGGTTGGTAGCTGGTAATGGGGGGTTTTGTTGGATTCAAAACTCTCGCAAAAGATTTGCTGCTTGTTTAGGAGTGCTTGACTGCTCTGGAAATTAAAAAAAAAAAAAGGTGATTTTTCTACCTAAAACGCGGTAGGATAATTTGCATCTATTTAGATTAAACCCATTTATTATTATTATTATATATATATATAAATCAGTTGATCAATTAGCAAACTGTTGCTGTTGCACATCGATTTTAAACCGAAACATATGGCTAGCAAAATGTCCTCCATGTATAAATTATAATATTGTCACTAAATTTAAATAATTAATTTATTCGTGACTTCTACGTTGTCCCATGACTACTTTATATAATGTAACGTAAGACATGCAAGCTGCTCAATGCTCATTCATCTCTATTGTCCTGTACTGCTCATTAAAATTAATATTGAATTTTATAATTTATTTTATATTAAATTATTTTAATTTTATAATTTAAATTGTGTATTTGAGAAATTAACTTAAATATTTTTTTTTAATTTTACTTTTTAATATTGAGTTTGATGAAAATTGAGTTTTATAATTTATTTTAATTTATTTTTTATAGAATTATCATGATCTCATCAATTAGTACGTAGATTAATAACTTAACTTGGATTAACTCAAATCAATCAATTATATTATTTTCTCAATATTTATTAAAATATCTTATCTTTAATATTTATTTTGAATGAGATTATATTTTTATCGGTTATTCAAGTTGTCTTTAAATTTATTAAGACAACCAAACCAAATCATATCAAATTAATTTTCACATAAGAAAAAACAATATCAACACCCATATATTTTTTTCATGTTATTTTTTTATACCCTAACGCGACATAAAACTAGTTAATTACTATAGTCTATTCGTGGATGCCAACAGGCACAAGGATGATAGATTACTTGTGAATCTTGAACTCATTCTGTGGAGGGGTTCTCTTGTTTAAGATGAGGTTATCGAGACAAGAAAATGAAGGTTCTATGTTCCTTCCTATAAAACCATCGGTAGAGAGTGTTCTAGCCATCACAGAACTCTAATCATTTTTGGTTTGGCTTAAACTTGCCGGTTCGACCAACCGCGTGCGGTAGGTCCTGGAGATGGCTGTAGTTTCTAGCCACTTACAACTTGTCCTTCCTTGAATGGAGGCATTTAAGCCAGCGTCCCCGTATGCTCCCGGAATTATAGAGCTAACAACAGCCATGTCTTCTTTCAGGTAGCAAATTATAGTCCTTCCCTTTCACTTGATTGAATTTGAACCTTATGCTTCCTACTCTTCAATTATGTGAGCTGAGGCACAATAGGCCAGATCACTAGGTTCTTACATACTGTTTCGCAACATTTCATCATCTCTGTCCCTACCCAGAAACAAGGCATTGATACGTGTAATGGCAAGAGCATGCTTTTGGTCAGCAACCGCAAATATTAGACATCACCTAAGGCAGATATGTTTCCATCCCATGATTATAAACATTACCCAAATGATCTCCTTGATAAATTGCTACCATCATCATCTGCACAATGCATTTTTCTGGTTTGATCATTATAACGCCCCACCATCTTAAATTCACAAATCTGGCAACTGTTCGAACATGATCAGTTCCTGCAATGCTTAATGTCTATCTACTTCCCATCATAGCAACATGCCGCACGTAGACATTCATGGCCATCAGAGTTGCTTATAGAGTTAATCGAATAATGCTCACAAAAATTATCAGACAATTCCAGTTTAACATTAGGCTTATGTGACACCTAACAAACGTTTGGACTTGAAAGGGCATTCTCTCTGGTTCGCTCCAAGTCATTCATTGACCTTAAATCTACAGTGGTTGCAAATGTTCAGAGTCCAAAGACGCTTCTCGATGGCGCATCCGACGCCTATGATGAGATCTTTTCTGGCTACGATTAAGTACTCTGGCAGGTTTGCCTGAACCACCAGGGTGATGGATTTCCTCCACAGATGCCATGAAACCAAAAATACTTTCTAGAGGGTCTTCCATTACATCTGCACCAGGTTTCATCTAGAACACAAGGATAAGATTAGATGATGTGATAACTAAGAAACCATTACAATCTTCAAGCAAGAATTTTAATATTGGACATGCATGCTCAAGTAGAATAGACAAATAGTTATTGAAGCATAACTACATCTCTCATCCCTTTTCTTAGTTTTTCCCTTGTTTTTCCTATACCAAAGTGAAAGACAGGAGAAAACTAAATTCAAAGTGATTGAAAAGGTCAGCAAAGAGCAACTTTATGAGCATGCTCCCCAACACACAAAAAAGAAAATAAGAAAGAAAAGAAAAAAACAAAACACAACAAAGCCTAGCCTAGCCTGTAACAGATGCAGTTGCTTGTTCATAAAAAATTTCAGTAGTTAGAGTTGCTGTCCTTCCATCACAGAAGTACCTGAGGAAAACTTTCTTACCTGTGGCAAGCAACTAATGTATCCCAAGCTTGGTACCAAATCCCTACAAATTCACTTTTAAGGCCTAATATGCTCTAAAATCATACCTCTTCCAGCAGAAAAGCTTACTACAGTAAACAATGGATCAACTACAGAATGTATTGTCTCGTTGAAGGAGTAGAATATCTTTTCCGGTGCTGCTGACAATCCTGTCCAAACTGGGGAGAAGGTTACCTCCTTTTCCATGAGAGTGCATTTGTTAACTCCCAGTCCAGGCCCAAAGCCCTGGCTGTTTCCCCGTGACTCCATATTGAAAACTATGGTTCTGAGATTTTGCATAAATGCCAAGTCTTGCCCGGTGGATGCTTATACATGAACTCAACTGCATAATTATCTCCACAACATCCTGGCTCGTCTCATTTTCAAATATGCTGAGATACTGGGATTTTCATTTCTCTTCCCCCCTAAGACTGCCCTCCCTATCCTCACTCTACAGTTTCTGCTAGAGGATGTAGAAGCAAAAAAAAATAGCCTAATTTTTGTTTGCCCAAGAAGACCATGCAACTATGAGTTAGTCTACCCACAGCAACAGAAACATAATGAGAAAGATGCAGCATCTAAATGTTTCATCAGATATCCAATGGATATGAATTATTCCTCATGATTCAGATTTTCTACCTCTAGATGTTTCTGCCTTTAGTGTATTGATGGAATAGAGAACAAAGCTCCCTAACAAATTCCAAATAGGCAAGGGTTTGTTAAACCTGTTCATAAAACGAGTAAGATTTGTTTTATATATGATTTTTTCTTTTGAAGGCCTCTTCTTTTTTCCACATTTATCTGTATTGCCTGCTAAATCGAATGTATGAAAAAAAATTGCATGTGAGGACCAAAAATCAAAACTATGAAAATCAATTGGTGACACTTCTAGCTGCAATATTAGGGATGTTTATCTGCAATTAAATATACTGTTTTGCATGTTCACTCCTGACTTTATTATGACTCCAAAAGCCAGTAAAGTAGTCAAGCCTGTGTTCAAATAGGAATGTTTGGTCATTGCACTTACAGGAACTTTCTTGGACTCCACACCAGCCCTTTTGACATCAGAGTCAACGAGGGAAACATTGTGAGAATCAATGTCATGTGTTCGTTGGCTATAAGCAACATCATCAACAAAGAAATTCCGATTTCGAAGCCTTATTACTGGCCTGTCTGAGTTTGAGTCAACAAAAACATTCTCTGAATAGAAATGCTTATTCAAACGATGCATTGACCAAGGATCATCTCGATATTTATTTGCCATTCTGTCATTAGGAATATTATTCATCACTAATCAATAGTTAATAATTCCTCAAGCAATGGAGCACAGATGTTGGTGAAATGGAATGTAAGGGAAAAAATGGAAAATGAAAAGGCAAAGAAAGAAATGCTTGACAGAGAGGAAGATGACTATTAGATACATTAATTATACTAGAAAAGACAGTGCTCAGCATTTAATAAGAGATTCATCACGGTCCAGAGAACTACTATTTATGTCACAGATACTTATCTTAGGATCGTTGGTGAAGATTCAGACAATTAGCTTGGAATGTTAGGAAAAAATAACCACATATACTTTTAAACTAGCTGGCCTAAAGCATCTCAGCAATCGTGTCAGTTCTAGTGGCCAACAAAGCTATAATTTCAGACAAACTAAGGTTAACTGAGTTATTTAACAATGTTGACTTGTCAGTTTTTAGAGAAGTTTGATTTCGTAACTCCCAAACAAGCACAAATGATTTCAGCAAATAAGAGGTTTTCCTATTCACTTGATCTATCAATCTCAATATTCTTGCAGAAAATTCAGGTTACAACTAAGTTCACGGGACAAATAAACCAAAATACTCTGCAACTGATGAACAACACAGCTAGTTAATTTGGCTTGACAACATGCCAGTTCCTTCAAACAAGAAAACATCAATATATTCTAGTACATTGCAGACAACAAGAAAAATTCACTACAAACAAGCAAGGTGAGGAGACCTACATATTTGCTAACTCCTTCTGCAACCGACTTCCATCCATAGCAAGAATATGATCAACACAGGTATCCAAAGACTTGTTAAATCTCCAGAATCCAAATAAAACAGCAGCACCTGCAAACAGGCAAAACTTACAGATTTTTGTCTATACAAACGAAGGAGTGGTCATGTAAACCGACAATATCAACAAAAAGACACTAGTCCAAGGCCTTAACTGCATTACCTCCTGAAATATTGGCTTGAGCAAACCGACTTAGCTTCCATGTTGCTGCCAGAATGCTACAAATAATCAAATAAGCAGCAGTAGTAGACTAAGATGATTCTGATGGCAGTGAAAGATTGAGATTACCAAGTAAAAGAACAACATTAACGGCAGGCGAATGAAAACCAGAAGAAGAGCAGACAAGCACGATGTTCTGTTTTAACCCCGGCGATTTACTGATTGGGCATATCTATATGCATAATGAAGTATTAAAATACATACCTGCCCAAGCAACAGTGGCACCGGTCATAACACCGGCCGTAAATTGCCTAACAGCCTTAGACTTGCATGTTTGAAGTATGTTCGCTTCTTCGAGTGTCAATGCCTCCTGTAGGAATTAACCAAAAAAAGAAACCCAACATGTGTTCACCCTATAAAAGCTTAACAAAAGGTAAAGGTTCTATTCTCATAAAAAGAAAAGAAAATGTGGAAGGGGAAGGATTGAGATTTAGGGAGTAGGATCACTTACAAAAATCAAAGAAAGGGAGGAACCCATCTGTATTGGAGAAGATAAAAGAGGGTTAAAAGAGAGAGAGGATTTTATAACTTACCTTTTGGGACTTGAGGAGTTGTTCAAGATCAAATAATGCTTCGCCCATTTCCTCTAAAGTTCTTCCTTCGATCTCCTGTTTAATTTAATTGCAAACACACAGGATGTCACTGCCACTGCTTTGCTGTCTGCGCTGCAGGTCTTGAAATTGCCGATGTTCGCTCGCATATAAGCAAGTACTGTATAATCTTCCAAATTGGAAGGGATGGTTTGAGAAATTACCGGGCCAGGCCCAAATTACAATGAGCCGATTAGACAGAATGATATTTTTTCCGGCCCAAAAGAAATAAATATGAAACCTTCCCAGCTCCCGCTCCTCTCCCTACCAAGAAAATGTCCGCCCACGCCCGCGAAAATACGTGTTCCGCTCAATTCCATCACCCGACACCTAGCTGACAGCCCTCTCCACCTCCACCTCCACCTCCTCCACCAACACCACCTCCACATCCCTCTCCCACCTCAGACAAATGCACTCAGCTCTAACTTCCCTCCTTCCCTCCTCCTCAAACTCCTTCTCTCCTCTTCTTCCCTCGACGACGCCCTCTCCATCTTCACAGACCTCCACACATGTGACAATCCTCTCTCCAACAAACTCTTCCGCTATTTATCTCGCATCGCCGAGCCTGAAACCGCTTTTTTAGCATATGAGAAAATAAGGTTGAAGATGGCTTGCTTAGTACTGACAGTTTTAGATTTCCTTCATTGCTGAAGGCAGCTTCCAGAACTTCTGGGTTGATTGAAGAGAAGGAGATTCATGGGGTTGCGGCTAAATTGTGTTTTGATAAAGACCCTTTTGTTCAAATGGGCTTGGTGGGTTTGTATGCTGCTTTTGACCGGATTCTTTTTACTGATGTTAGTTTATTAACAGGTACTATCAAAGTTGATGTGTTGCAGGTTTTTGAAGAGATGAGGAATTCCAATTTGAAGCCGGGTGAAAAGGTTCTGTCAACCACAATATTGGCTTCTGGTCAAGCCCGAAATTTAAGTTGTGAAAAAGCAATAGATGATTTCATTATTGGAAATAATATTGTGCTTGATACTTATTAACAGAGCGCGCTGGTTACCATGTATGCAAGCAGTGGCTGTTTGGATATTGCTGAAGAATTATTTACTAAGATCTCGTCAAAGAACTTGGTTGTTTTATCAGCCATGGTTTCTGGGTATTCGAGAGTTGGGAGAGTCGAAGATGCTCGCTTTGTTTGTTACCATATGTATGAAAAGGACTTGGTTTTTAACAGACTTGGTTATGCTGAGTGTGATAAGCCTCAGGAAGCTCTTAATTTATTTAGTCAAATGCAAGTTTTGGGAATCAAACCTGATCAAGTTACTATATTGAGTGCAATTTCCGCCAGTGCTCGTCTGGGTATTCTAGATCTCTTAGTGGGCTGATGAGTGAGGGAAAAGGGTCATGCATCCGAATAGTTAAGAATCTCAAGTGTTTGTGAGGACTGCATATACCTTTATAAAGTTGGTTTCGAAGGTTTATGGGATGGAGAATATTGTTAGAGACAGGACTCGATTTCACCTTTACACCTTTACAAAGCTGGCGTGTGCTCTTGTAATGAGTCTAATGACTATTGGTGATTTTGTTTTCACCTATCTGTATAGAAATTGTTCCTAATGGAGATAGTTTACAAATTTGGAACTGAACAGTTGAAGATCCTGTGGTGCTTGTTCATACACCTTGTTCCTGTGAATACAGGAGGATAAGAACTTGCTCAACCTCGGAAAAGAAAAGGTAAAAATCAATTAGACCTTTGTGAAAAAAAGGTAAAATCCAATATCAATTGGAGATTACCTTCTCAGCAAGAAAAATTAGAAACACTGGTCATGTAGTATCAGTTCAGCGTGTACAATTCCAATTTAGAATATTAGAAATTGAAATTCTTGTCGTCTTAGAATATCCAAACATCACTACGCCTTAGAAAATGAAATTAAGATTCAAGCAAAAACATGACAAGGAAGTTGAAATGAAGGGAAATGGTCCTCTTGATACCCTTAGGTTTTTTTTATTTCTTCTCACAAGCAATGAGAACTGGAACCGTGCTGGAGGAATTAAGGCACCGCGTCTTCTATCAATATATTCTCTCTAAGTTGGGATGATCTTGACACGGTCTTTTACTGTAAAGACACTGTATTGTCGCTCAAAATCAGAGAACAACCAGAATCCCGGATTCATACTTTTCAGAGCTCGTGACATTCTGTATTTGAGGACCCCTGCTACTGATGAAAACAGCATTGAGTTATCCAACATCAACCTACTCTCATACTCCAGAATCCATGTATTGGGATCTAATTGGACAACAGAGGCAGCCCAATTTCTGTGAAACCAAGAAGTGTTGGCTTTTCGAATTGAGTAGCCAATCTTCCCCTCAGACCACTTTTAAACACAAAAAAATATATATCATGAATTTGATTGACACAGGCAAACCATCTACTATTTTAGTTGTCATAAACTGCTACTAATTAGAGAAGATGCACATGCAACAGGATTTTGGGTTTACCTCGGTAACTCTGCCTGACAACACAGTAAATGATCGGGAAGAAAATTCTGTTTTGAGCAATCCTCCAGTTTGCAAAGGCCAGCCCCATACGCTCACCTCTTCCACTGCTGACTTGTACAAGACGCACCGTGAATTCAAAAGCAGCCCATCCTGCAGTTCATACTTATTCATGATATTATTGCGTTGAAAAATACCTCACGAATCCTTGAGCGAAATTTTTTAATAAGAGTTTAGGCAAATGAAACCTTGTTGATTTCCCATATCGAATTCATAAAGCTGCAATTTGAAACCTTCCCATCGGCAACAAAATCTTTCAAATCACTCTGCAAAAATCTTAGCCTCCGATTCAAATCTTGTACAACCCTGTATCTCTCACCAATACTTCTAATCATATCAGGTGAAAACGAAGGCTTTAAAAACCTACAAACCCACCAAGAAAACCCATTTTCCACACCATAAAGCAAGCTTAATCCCCAAACCAGGCTAAAAAAAACACCCCAAAAACCAAAAGGCCGCGGTTCTTTCTTCTTTTCTTTCTTTTGATTCAGAGTCAATCTTGCTGTTGATTTGAGTGTCGGAGAGTCCATTTTAGGACAAGAACTTGATCTCGGTGTTGAGATAACTGAAGTATCAAAAGAAAGGGGAGTGCATTCCATGTTGGCGCGTGAAGAAGAAAGCTTGGTGAGAGAGGACTTTTGAATGCTGACTGGCATGAGATCAAGGGTAGCATTGATGCTAACTAAGCAAATATCACAGTTGCAAGTGGCACCTTTTCTGCAACCAGGGAAGTAACAGCTATCTCTTTCTTCCATGGCCGTGTTGTTAGTGTTGGTGGCGCTTGATTTCATGGAGAACAGTGATGTTATCGTGCTGTATGCTTTCATGGCTGAATTAATTGTTTCTGCTTGTTTGGTCAAGAAGAGAATTTTAAGCGAGGAGGCGATTAGGAGACTGTTTGAAATTTGAATACAACGGTCATGTAATGGCGATTTTACGTGCACGCTTAAGCTCTACAAAATGACTGAAATAGCCCCATTATCTTTTGTTTTCTTCGCAATTTTCTTCCCTTTCCTTCTCCCTTCGTCTAAACTCTTAAGGAATAAAGAAAACAAAGAAAAAGAAAAGGGTTATTGTTACTATAAGTTTTTTCTACCTTCAAATTTTTACCCTCCATCCTCTTTTCTTTCATCCTTATTTATTTGTATATTTCAAAAATATTTTTTAAAAATTTAATTTTTTTAATTTTTTTACTTTAAATTAATATTATTTTTAGTATTTTTAGATCATTTTGATCCACTAATTTTAAAAATTATTTTAATATATTTTTAAATAACAAATATTTTAAAAACAGCTACAATTATACTCTCATATATATTAATATCGGTTAAAGTTTGTTTCCCAATTCTAATCATTTAGGAATTAGGAGCGGTTTGAAGTTGCACTGGATTTCATGTTTTATGATTTTTGAAAAATAATTTTTAATATTTTTAAATTGTTTTGATATATATTAGCGTTAAAAATAATTTTTAAAATAAAAAATATATATATTAGCATTAAAAATAATTTTTAAAATAAATAATATATTATTTAAATATATTTTTAAATAAAAAATAATTTAAAAAATAACTATTATCACATCTTTACTCATATTCTTAATATTTAGATTATTATTAAATTTCCCTCCTCGCTTTGTGCAGTAAACTACTTTAATTATGACCCTTGCAATGCTTTACCTCGTAGCAAACATCTTCCAATATTTACAAATGATTTAGATCCGTGACATCTTGGAAGTGAGATTAACATCACACTTATCACTGTATAAATAATTATTCGAGGTTAGATTTCATTACTCGTATAAGTAAATCTATAACTTACATATAAAAATATAAAATTAACCGAGGCATTTAATTCAACTGATTATCTTTGTCCCACGACACACTTTTTAATATAAAAATGATTCGAGATTAAATTTCAGCACAAATAAATACAAATTCAGAATTTTATATCAAATTAGGAACTCTATCAAAATACTTAATATTCAACTAAAATATCTTTACTACATATTCAATCCAGTTTTGGTCTAAACACACTAACATCATATGACCTATAGAGTTATCTTAAGAAATCAATTAAGAAATATTCTCCAAAATTTAATAAATCCACTAATTATCCTAAAAAAGGAAAAGGAAAGGGAAACACACGCTGGTTAATTCTTCTTCTGTGTGAATCAGTTGTTCACCGAATAATTCCCAATTTAAATTGATGAACAAATAAATCAGAACCCTGCCGCACTTCGATCTTGATAACGCTAATTCCAACACCCTCTCTGGAAAAAAAGGAGGTGCGTCTTTTAAAGTTATCTGCATCTGCTTTATGCTGGTAGAAATGAAGACCGCATGGGGTTTGATCAGAGGTCAACCTTTCTTAAGGTACCAGAACACACTCTGAGTATTCGATCGACAGCTGCACCATTTTCCATTTCTTTCCCTGTCCTGGAATCTTACAAAGATATATGTATTGACGAGCCGATGTACATTTGTCTGCAATGTAGACAGGAACAAAAATAATGTCAAATGTTCTTATTCCCTGGGGAATCAGGCACCTATCTCACGTCTGATAATTAATGGTGCTCCTTACGGAAACGAAGCAATCTTTTTCGGCACTGCCTCGTATAAGTTCTGGAATCCAATTCGAGATTTGAAGCCATTACAAAACCAAAATGCAGGGTGCGGTGCGGTGCGGGTTAATGCAAAACAGACACCAGTTATAGATTGAACGCAATGCCAGTTTCAATCGACCGAGATGTTTGACTTATTCTTAGAGTGGAATCATAATACCTAATCACATGGAAAATGATTGATTGAGTGATATGTAAATGGTCTTACCTCCACTCGAGGATGCTCCTTTTGCCCTTTAAAAAATTTGTTTGGTTAATTAAATTGTATAGCCGTGCCTCCAACTCTGATTTTATAGAAAATAAAATAATAATTTATTTTCAAATAAAAATCCATTACAAAACCATTTTAACTAAACATATTTTTTTAAAACTACAATCACAAAAAACTACTATAATATCACAAATATATAAATTTTGCTTTTCAAGGGCTATTAATTCGAGTTTTACAAACTTTAAAATTACTTAAAATTTATATAATTATTAATTTTAAAATTTATAAAATTAATTAAAATATATTTAAATAAATAATTTTAATTAACCATTTATTTTTATAACTACAGTCACAAGAAACTGCAATAAAATCAAACGCACAAGTGAACTGATAATTAGTGAGATGATCTTGGACTGTAGGAGTCGAAGATTTCCGGGGCACGCACCTTTAGTGGACATGTGAAACATTGATGGTACACGTAATGCATGAGTGTCTGTTTGACTATGTGGGGACCTACTACTTTAATCCCCTCATTTCCCTCGCCTTGCCCTGGGGTTGGCATCGGACAAAGAAAGCTGTCTTAATCACGAGAACTAGTTACGCTTAATTAACCAAAATATCAAAGCCCAATTTTGGAGCAAATTAGATGGCGCATTAGCAAATCCGATGATCATAATTTGATCCATCAACCGGCTAATTTGAACTGCTATGTCAATCCGGAGCATTGAACATGTCGGAAATTTTTTATAGAATTACTGTGTCAATCGCCAGTTATTGTGGAAGAAATTATACCGTAGCTTAAATAATTGGAGCCCATTTATAATATAAGCATGATGTCGAACGAGTACGTGCCTTTTTTTTTTAATTAATTTGGGTGTTCGGACCAGCAAGCTTCTAGTAGTCATCATATGAGCAAGGACTCGAATTTTTAAACTTAAAACCAGAGGGAGCAAACCCCTTAATCCCAAGTCTTTACCACCGCCTAAATGGTTAGTCTTAAGTATTGTGAATAATTATAATTAGCGTGTCACCATTTCTTTTAACCTCCTCTTAAACATGTATTGGGCAGTTGACTCGTACTTCTGTTTAAAAAAATATAAGATTTCTTCATGGTTGGTTTTCAGGAGCCAGATGGGAAAAAAATACCCGTGGCATCAAGAAACCAAAGGGCTATTTGTGTGTACCATTTCAGTTACTGTTATTTACTTATTTATTTATTTGAGTTCACATGAGCCGACCGCACGACATAAAATAACGATGGTATCACTAAA